GATTAGAACCGTCCTATACAATGCACTTTTCTTGCAGGGACCACAGACCAAGGATTTAAACATGACTGTTCGCGGGTGTACATTTGTTTGAGCATATGCGTGTTGCATTTGTTTGTGTTTATTTATTTCAAATAGATAAGAATTACAAACAAGTAGATATTAATGAAAAAAAAATATATGAAAATTTTTTATTCCCTTCTGTATACTCTAACTCTAAAGCATCATATAGGGTAGTTTATTTTAAAAAGAAAAAAAAAAACATATATATATATATATATATATATATATATATATATATATTACATTAAATAAAAAGAAAGAAATGATACATAAATACATACAAACATCTCTTGAATCGAAAATCATAAAAATAGACAGAATAGTGTATAGAGGTTTATGTAATATTTCTAACCCCTAACTTATGTTTCGATTTGAATATTTAAAGAAAACAATTTACAATAATCATTTAATATATCGGCTTTTACACATATACTACTTGAGAAATCACTTAACTGAAAGTAACTTTTCTAACTTTTTCTTTTTTAATGTTCAAAATTTCATTTGTTGATAACTTAATCGCCCTGTTTTAGATCATTCAAATAACTCTTTTTCGATTCTTCTCTTTAAATATGTCGAAAAATTGCAGATAATACAAACATAATAATTTTTCCGGAAATGGAAATGAATGGCTCTATGATTATACCGATACCAACGTGAACCACGTACGAGGTGTGTTACTCGATAGAAATTTCCTGTGTAGGAACCAGTTAGGTAGCCACGAAATGCATGACATTCTGTTGGTCATTATTTAACATTATTTGGTTTCCATGACAAGGTCGTTTCATGCGCTACTACTCTCTCCCACAGAAAATAACTACAACTTTAACGTTAAAATAATCTCAAAATAATTGATGTTATCGATTTTATATGTAATATCACATATTGAAAAATTTTAAATAATATAAACAACACTCATACATAAACTCGAGGCATTAATAATATATTATGAACTTGAATCATTTGTCACTCTTTTAATTTTTTGACTATACTTAACCATAATTAATGTGTGTAAAATTATATCAAAATTTAAAATTATTTGATAGTTTATTATATTATTTTATTTTAATATATAAAATATTATTTAAAATATATGTAAATATTTTTTGTTAAATAATATATTTAAAAGAGACTAAATCATTTGAAATTTCATATATATGACCATAAATATTATCAAATACAACAATTGAATTGATTAAATTTATATTTTATAAAAAAAAGTTATTAAAGATATTATTTTACAAATTTGACACTGATTTTTTTTAACAACAAAAAAAATTTATTAATCAAGTACAAGAGGTACCATAAACCTATTTACAATAGGAGAAAATATTAAAAGCATAAATTGAACACGTAAATTTGTTTGTCATCATCATAAAACCTCCTCCTTTATACCTTAGAACAGATGCAAAGATCACTGATTGTTACATTATTGTGAAAATGTAAATCGAAAATTCTCCTTAAAACTTGACAACCACAACCAAGAGGTAAAGAGAATGCACTTGATAATTTTGTCTAGATCAAAGCCTTCATGTTCAAACACATATAGATTTCTATGCCTCCACAGGGTCTACATAGTCGTACTCCATATTATGCGCCAGGTTTCCACTTTTGACTTGGACAATAATGGACCCAAAATGTTGTTCTAATGACTGTGGTAGGGGAAAGGGGCATTTAGCCAACTGAGCCATTGTGTCCATACCTTATCTACTAGAGGACATGTGCACAAAATGTGTGAAGAGCTTTTAGGTCCTACTTTGCAAAAGGCACATAATATCTCTTGAGAACTTAAGATGGCATTTATTTTTACCAAATTATCAACTGTTGGTAGTCCTCCTTGCTGCAACCTCCACATAAAATAATATGAACTTTGGGGGAGCTAAAGTATTCCAAATTTGTTTAAAAGTTATGGTTTCAGTGGATCTTGACTCTCTCTCCCTTTCTCTCTCTCTCTCTATATATATATATATATAATATATATATATATATATATATATT